TGAAAGTAAATAAGAATAAAGATTTTATATATACATGCAATTTAACATTAATTTATATAATTATCACAATAATGAAAAGTCTCGAAAAAATGTGTGAAACATAGATGTCGTCGACACCACGAACATTTGAGTACAACAAGTTCCGCGCAATCTGAACAATTCATGAATTCGAGTTGATTGAAACAAAAGTCTACTGGGTTTTCAAAATGTTCTAGCCTGATATCCGTGTAACCACATCGAAACCAGGCATATTTAAACAATTCTCTATGTCTAGGTGCAGATAACTGATTGTGTATTAAAGACTGCATTTTTATAATCGTATCACGCGTATGTAAATTAATTTGTAAATCTAATATGATTACTAGATCTGAAAGTTTCCGAGCAAAATTTTTCCAAATTCTAAAGCCGTACACATCTAAAGACTGAATAAGACCCGTGGTGTTTTTTGGAATTTTTAAAATTGTAATTGTTTTATCTTGCAGTGTGATATTTTGTATTAAATTTTCGTCGTATCCGATCCATGAATCTAATAGTAAAATGCTATTTCCGATCGTATTCGGAAAGTACACCAGTTCCAACCATTGTTTCAATAACTCCTTATTTAACTTACCGGATATTGATGCCCCAATAAGAATATTAGGCGCTGTGAACATTGATCGTTGTACACGAGGACCAATTCGGCCACTTGTTTCCTTCAGTACTATACATATACAGTGGAGACAAGAGTTGTCCATCTGCTGATATTGTTGGCTGTATTGTATAACTATGCGTTATAGCTGACGATGACTGTATAATTGATTCAGTATGTTTTTCTCCTTTGCAAGAAAGTGTACGGCTACTATGCATTTCGAATTGAAACCCGCTCTGATCAGAGTTAAATATGTTTTCTTCCCCGCAATTTTGAAAATATTGACAAACAAGAGATACGAATTCATTAGCGTTTTCGCGTATGTCAGCTAAATGTTCACTATAATTTCTCGTAATGAATTTTGTTGTTTTCCTAGAAACAAGATATTATTAGACTGCTTAAGTTTCCATAACCATTTTTGAGACGCTTTAAATCCAACTACGTTAAGTTTTTGTTGTTCTTGTAATGCCCAACGTTTTAAGTCGATGTCATGAATTACAATTTTTCTATTTCGCGCTAAAATAAATTTTTCTAATACTTTTCCCGTAATTAACTGCAATTTATCTAATTGTGATCCCCCAGAGCCAATTTGTTTTTCCCATTGATATAACTGTTTATGACTCTTTAATTTCTTATACCTTTTCTGTACTGTCGCGAAGGATAATTTCCTTTCTTTTCCCCTTTTCCAAAAGTCCATATTTCCGCCTTTCCAAAAGTCCACAGCACTTTTCTCATATTCAATATGAGTAGATTCGTGTTCTGACTCATTTAGAGTTGTGTCAGGTGAACTGGATGGACTACCATTGATTTGCAATGGACTTGATGGCAGGTCGTGTATCGACGATGAAAATTGGTCCTCTGTATATGATCTTCGAATAATAATTCTTGTTGAGTTTCAATTTCTGTGTAGCCTACCTGCATATACATATCTGTCAATCAAGTCAATAATAGTTTCAGCTAACTCAACTTCCTTTGCGTTTACCGGCGTGTGTGCACTACTACTTTTATAATTAAATGAATCCATTAGAATTTTAATAACATTTATAGGATTTACTTTCATTTTAATGCAATTGATTTTTTGAGCAAGGAATTGTTAGTTTAAAAAATTACGTAAATAAAGATAGTTTTATACGAGCAAAATTTAAATTTACCTTTTTTCCTTGGCTTTCCCAGGTTCATTCTTCGCTTACTGTTTCCTTTTTCCCTGCCCTTTGTATGGGTTTGGGGGTTTCCCTTCATATACCGCCCTCCCCTGTATCCCAGTGTAATTCTTGTCCACTTTGCTTCAGTCACGAGTGTAAGTGCGTGAGAGAGAGAGAGAGATTATCATTGTAAGTAAGGAACATATACAATAAAATCCAGTATAAGCAGCAAAAGGCTTAGTCAGTTCGTGTTGGCAGATTTTACTTAAATGAAGCCACACGTGTTTTACTTTTATTATTTGAATAATATATTTTTACTATAAACCACTTATAAACTAAATATATATAAATGATATATAAACAATAATATATAAAATCAGAACTGAACAAGAAAGGGTATTACAGCGTGTTACCTCGTTACAAAACATCGGACGAATAGAACGCGTCGCTCTTACGAATATCTATATATATAAGACCCCTTTTACCTATATGCCATCTAGCGATACTAATAGAACACATTAACTGGCGCCCAAATACAAAATTTAGATTGCACATACAACAGTTCGGAAATAGCCTCCATCGAATTCCCCTGATTAGCCTAGAAATCGGAAACCGGCTAAGGTCAAGGTGTGCGTCAGCACTTTAAGGTTAAAGAACCGCAGAATAGAGCGCGACGTAACAGTACCATTCTTAATTTTGTCCATAAGGGAGATCCCTTAGCTTCGTGCTGCTAAAACGAGGTGCACCCATGAGTATGTTTGTGACTCGGTTTATATTATTAATCCAGTTTCTGAGACTTATTGTAATTTGCATTCGTCTCTGTCCGTATCCGCTTCAGTGATATGTATCATGGTATCTTTGATTAATTCTGTCGCCTTTTGTTTAACGTCCCTTTTCAGGTTAACGCTAGAACTGAGTATTTTTATTACTTCCTTATTTATTTCTCCAAT